TACCTAATAATATGAAGACAAACAATTTTAATACATGTTGAGGGTACAGTTTTCTGCCTATCACGGTCCAGATTCGGACCGCAGTCGGCCAGTTCCCGACATTGGCTATTGACCTAAAACAGTAATACCATACCTAATACCTAGTATTTTTAATAATCAATGTTATTATTTGAGGAAKGTACAGCAAATTTTTGGTTATTGATCGATTCCGTTATTGAGGTTATCGTTCACAGAACTTTTTAGTAAGTAGTTGTTTACTATGATAAAATAATCAAGTCAATCCAAAATGTATTTTGTTGAAACGATTAGTTGTTGGTGAACGCCAATCGACTAATAAACGGAATATAAATCTTTTCAGAAATCATTGGTAATACTGCAGTTAGATTCCTATAATCAGTATAATCTTAAATAAGTGTATTTTTTTTGGTTTAAAAAACAAAAGTAATAATATTGTAGGTACCTTGACGGCTTGACATCTTGTACGTATATACTCAAATATTAAGTTATACTTTTTTATTTGTCTCCTTTGTAAATTTAATATGTTTGTATCTACCTATAAATTTTTGAATTTTATATTCATAATATAAATATTTTATAAATGTATCAATCATTTGCATAAGGATAATAGTATATTTATTGTTATAATTTAAAGGTAAAAACTAGGTGCTTGAGGCTAAAACCAATACGCAATATTTCGCAAAGAACAAAATATCAACAAACCTAAATTAAAATTCTATACTACCTTAAATACTTCGGAGCTAATTTATGAATAGGCCAACAGAATAAGATAGGTAACCAAAAAGTACCTTATAGGTACGCTTTACACATTATTCTATTATTACCGTTAAATAATCATTTTAAAACTAAGAGGGCTTCCGGATTGCAATCCATTCAACTACCTCCACCCTAAATCCCAGCACTGCGTGAGGTGACAATGTGATATCGACATACACAAACGAAAATTTCMGTATTCCCGAATCCCGTTGGTTAGGTGATAAGTAGAAACTAGAAAATAATATAATATAGTAATAATCATGGATTAATCTGTGGTAATAATAAATTTTAAATTATTTTACTAATTATTATGCCTAACTTTAATACTTTAATATGATTATTTCAATCTTCGGTGATTAATTTTAATAATAATAAAAATAATATAGGTACCTAGTCAAAGGAACGATGCCACAGAATTAATCCGTGGTCAAATTATATTTATTAATTTCGATCGTCTTTCTTAAAGTTTGAATAAAATCAATTATTGCGCGACACATTAGGCTGATCTACCTATATATTATAGCCATGACTATGTCACGGGCTTATCAGTTATCATGCATATACGTGCAGTTGTGGTAGTGGTGGTGGTGGTCGGTGGAGGCAATAGTCGACCGTCTCCGGTTAGCGCGATCTTTATGAAAACGTTGAAGTAACGCTGCGTTATTCCGCATCCGACGGCGCCCGCAGAACATACAGTTGTGTTTTTCCAAGAGAACTCGAAATTTKCTGTGACGCTGTCTCGCAGTCTCGCAGAAGAGTTTAAACTGGGTGGCCGCGTCTGCTCATCTTTTTTTCTCGTGTATACGCACTACCTACAAATATATTTTATTCATTATTTTTGATAAAGTTAGCTTACTGCATTTTTGTGTTCGTTGTCTGATCTGTACGATTTTTTTTCCCTAATCGATTTATTGTTTAAACATTTTTTTTTTCTCAACCGCCCGTAACGTGCTTGCTAGACTCACCTGCAGTTGTTTCGTGTGTCCAGACTTAAGAGCAGTGTCACCATACTATCGCTCGGGCTGACGTCCCTCAACTCCGGCGAGTAACCGTAGCTGCACCGTCGACTTCGGCGGCGGTGCCCGCTGGACATCTCGCCGCCACACAGATCATCTGGCCATGCCTCCTCGATCCCGAACGAAGAAAGCCATGCCGGCCAAGAAGGTCGAAAACGCCAAGAATGCCGAGAAGGGKAAGAAGACCGAAAAGGCTAAGGAGGCCGAGAAGCCTAAGAAAGTTAAGAAGATGTTCGATTTCAAGAAACCCATAATGCCGCCTCAAGATCCGACTCCATTTTCAATAGGTAAATAGTCGAAACACAACCATGCACAATGGCTGTGACGCGATTTTACGCGTCGTACATACGCGTGTCGCGTTCTGCCTGTGTCAACGACGACCGATGAGTTATGTATGTATTGCCTGAAATGCTCGTTTGTCGCTTTTGAACAGTCCTTTGTCTAMGTGCGGCATCATGTATCAACCACTCTGCTCGTTCGTTATAAGTTATGACTTATGACCATTGTGTCTGAAATTTTCTGCTTCTAGCCCACGAGTTGGTTAGTGGTACATTTTTTTATTGTGTTAGCAAGTGATCTTTCCTGTTGCAGTGATCAATAAAACCCTGCTAACTTTTTATCTAGAATTTTTTTCAATTTGGTACACCTAGACTACTTCTCTTTTAGTTGTTTCTACAAAAGTTCACTTTGCTGATTTGTTGCTTATTTTTGATTTAATTTTATTACATAGTTAGGTAATTGAGCAAATAGGACTCGGTTATTCTGTATAAAACGTCGAAGGTTGCACATAAGTTTTGGATTGATTGTAATTTATTATACTCTTATCATTTTTAAAAGCTTGAATATTAATTACAATTATTTGTCAACGAAAATAAAAAAATGAGTATTCCAATTGGCAACCTACCTATTATACAATATATTATATTTTTTTATTAAGTTCCTACTATCATTATTTGCTACAGGTAAAAAGTTAAGAAATGGGTTATTTGTAAATTGACATAAATTTAATACTTCAGTTTTATTTTCAAACAATTATTATTCTGCCACTGAATGTGTACAATGGCTCTGGCTCTGTGTTACTTTTAAATTTTTAAATTCTTATATCTGAGTACCTATGAAATATACAACTCTTTTGTATGGTTTTTGTTTGCATATTACATTTGCTTATTTACTTAACGTTACTAAATTATGGTAGAATAGTTTATTTTTGTGACTAAGCAAATTACAACTATTTGACATTTGAAATAAGAAAAAAAAGAACGAAATTGATTGTAAAAATTATTGTTATACTTGCCTTTACCTAATTAAAATATGTTCATACCAAATATGATAATTATGCGATTTATCTATTTAGGTATGTATATAGTGGATATGGTATCTAACTAGCTATTAGAGGTGGTAAGCATTTTAAATGTTTCAAAACAATTTTTTTATTTAAATCTCGGGGAGGATTATCAGAACATTTTGCAAGTGTTCARAATAAAACGATTCTGTAAATAAATAAATAAATAMAAAAATTTTAATTGCTTAGTTTAGATCATGTTAACATGATCTTAAAGGTTAGGTATATTATCACAAAACTATTTAGAAGGGTACATATATTTTTGTAATTAATTAGGCTTAAATCAGATTTTATCCTGTTTTTATTTTAATACTTACWGTACGTTTTATTGTAATTAAGGTAGAAATGATGTTCACCTATAACTCCGCCATAACTCTTACTTGCAGGTAGCAAATTTAAACATTGATTAAATGCTTGTTCAAATGTTTTTATAATTGTATATTATACTAGTGTACTAACTGCTAATATCAGTAATAAATACTAACATAATTTAAACTATATTGCTATACTTATAACAATATATTTAAATATTATAATTTAATTATAGATAAATGATTTTTTTGATAGATATAAGATCAAAATTGTAATCTATATTTGGTAGGCTATTTTCCTAGTTTTTTGTCAAATGGTCAACAAATACATTTATTATTAATTCACCCGTTAAAAATTATTTTCATCTGTGTTTTAGGTGAGGAAGTATATTGCAATTGGAACAAATTTTATTACCGAGGAAAAATTTTGAAACATACTGAAGATACTGATTATTTTTCAATCCATTATTGGAAATTTCGCAAATCGTTAGTATATCTACATTTTTAAATTTTTAAAAGAAATGTATGACTATTTAATCCATCAATATTTTTTAGTTGGGATATGCCATTACATCGGAAGTCAATACTTAGATTTGATAATAAGAAAAATGCAGCATATGTTAAAAGTTGCAATGCCTATGAGAGGTAAATATTGAGTTATACAAACTAAGGTTTATTATTAATTTATTAATATATATATATATTTATGTTTTTATTAAAGACATGTAAAAGCCGCTACGGAACAAGTATACGTAAGTAATCAAACCAAATAAAATTACTTAAGCAAATTTGAAATAAGATTATTTTAGTAAACTATTTAATATTTATAATTTTAATTCAATATAAATTAGTTGATTATATAGTTATTTCCCTCTCACATTTATAGTTATCTTTCATGTAAATTGGTTTTGTTCAATAATTTAAGGTTGAAGTTTTTACTATTAATTTTGTGAAGAGAATGATAAATGTATCCATTAGAGGAGTAAATTTTGAGGAGTGTACTATTTATTATTTTTAATCCACTTATCATCCATAGTTTTTAATATTATATATAAATGTTGTTTGGCCCAACTTTAAAGAAAATGTTTACAAATTGTTGTTAATCAGTATGACTTTTAACACATTAATTCCAATACATTTGAAATCTGTAGATTTTATCTTAATTTTAGAGATGTCCATTAAAATATAATAGGGTTTAAAAAACATTTTTAACGTTTTAATATGTAACTTATATTTTATTGGTTAAATCATTGTTATTTTAGCAGTATAAGTATATTATATTTTATTTTGGATAGAATTCTCTAGTATCATGTTCCCAAGGTTATCTTGTACATTACCATAGAAAAAATGTATATGAATGTATTATTCAGTTTTATAAATGATTAATAATAATTATAAATTTCAGACATCACCCTCCCTCAACTGTCAGACTCCGCGAAGTGTGTTAGTATATAATTTCTGAATCACTTTTTGCCCTTAAAAAAAGCCATCACTTACATKATTCAAACTCTTAAATTTGTTATCTTATAACTAGCGTAGTAGGGTTCAAAACTTGAGAAAATAAAAGATTTACCTAAGTTAAAGTTTGTTTTTTAACAAATTAATCTTAGCATTGTACATTTATTCATACTTAGTACTGGATTTATTTTTGTAAAGATTACCCCTAATTCCTAATCTTAAGAATCATGGATTTAAAAAAAATCTATTATTTAAAAAAATGAAAATAAAATACGGCTCATGTTTATTTTACAACCTTGAGCTTTGTATAGGTTAAAATATTATTAAAAGCGGTTAAGTAGTTTTTGAGTGACTCCTCTATAAACAAACCAACAATTTTACTTCTATATATTATTGGTTTATTAGAATACACAAGTAAGTTATTTCTTAGTCAAGTTGTTGATCATTTTTTTTTTTCAGAGGAATTTAAAAAAATGTTTACCAGTTGTAAAATTGGATCTTTTACAATTCGATCCTACCACATGTAGGATTATTGTTCGTGAAGATGGAAATATTCAACATCTACCAAAAGAATCAATTACAACTATATTACCTGAAATTAAAGTTGAATCTCCTGCAGTAAATAAAGAATTATTTTTATCCTCTGAACAAGAAGAAAATGTATGTAGTCAAAATCCATATAATATATAGAAAATAAAATGTTAATGAAAATATCTGCTATTTATAATTTTCAGTATATTTCTATTGATTTTTAATCATTGATGGTTTTTTCAGGTTCAATCAATATCACTTGCAGTTAGTGACAACAATTTAAACACTGAAGTAACTTTATTATCTTTAAGCCCAATACTTGAGGAAGTACAAGAGTCGAAGATAGATAAAAGTAATTACTATACCTAATAATTAATAAGAATTTAAATAAGTAATAATTAGTAAATTGAGGACAATAACAGTTTTTGATACTAGTTTATTTAAAACTGATATTTTTCTGTTATTTTCAGTTTGTTAGATCTATGAACTGATTTTAAAAAACCAGTATCTGATTTATGAATTGATACGAATCATATGACGGTGATGATTTTAATAATGAATTTTCTGGTACATAATTGAAGTATTCTTAATGTTAAAAAACCTAAAAAAAAATCTAAAATTTTAATTTATATCCTTATAAACTTGATAATAATATAATTATATATAAATTAGTATTTTATAATCATTGATAATTGTCACAATTAAAGATTTTATATAGGTGTAACAACAGTTTATACTATATTATAGACAGTGGTGTATATCACAGGCTTTTATACTTACTAGATAAGTAACCCTTAAAATATTTACATTGTTATCAGTGAAGCTCGCACGGGGATTACCGCCATCTTTTCGGWTGGCAAAACATTGGTTGGTATATACAAAATGTATAAGGAATAAATGAATTTATAAATTTTTTTAAAGGTGATATACTGATATATAACAATAATGACAAAATGATCTATATAAAATAATTTTTTTTTGTTACAAATAACAAGTCTAGAAATTTATAAAATACAATACAACATCAATTAATATTTACCATAAATACATATATAATATCGCATACTATTTGCCAACCGAGAAAATGKCGGAACCCGGCTTCAACTAATGCACGGAGTTACTTATCTAGTTATTATAGAAGTCTGTGGTGTATATTGAGCGATGGATGGAAATTAAACATGATAACGATTACTCTATGGAACGTGCATAGAGAGCATAGATATTAAAGAATAGATAAGCCATTAATTGAGCTTATCATATGAGATCGAATATGAAAATATTTTGAGTTTCCGAAGTATTTACTCGAATTGATAACAATATTAAGAGATGACACAAATTATTAAGGTATAATGGGCTGGCGTCAAGTGCAATATATCTGTTAACTGAAAATGTTACGCCAGTGCCCAGTGTGGAAAGTATCTGTGTAAGGGGTTACAAAAATTGACTGATTTTAGCGCCATCTATGTGCACATTGCACATTACAAGTAAATATGATATAATTAATTTTAATATTATAATAGTCTGTGGACTCTGATGACAATAATTTCAATGTTGAATAAATAAGACAATAATTTAAAAATTCAATAAAATGCATAATAATAATAAAATATACTAAAATAGAAAATGTGTAATTTCTTTATTTTAATATTATGTTACTAGATGGCGTTAAAATTACCAGGTTTTATTTTGATTGGTAGAGTCATGATAACATTTGAAGCTTATTTTCCCCAACAATTTCAGTCTGTTCGAAGTCAGTCCATTATATCTTATTCCGTGGGAGATGATAATTTTATTTATTAGGGAATTGAACTTAATGATTTTAATGAATCTAATTAATTAAAATTATAATATTTAAGTACGTGATTAAAACTTTAYGACATTTTAAATTAAAATTAATAACCATAAATTAAGGAGACGACACACCCGCATGTGTTGTCTCCGTCATATACATGTACACAACATAGCAAAAACTGTTTCGTGCGGGAAAGAACCGAGAAAGCTACAGTTATAACTATACTCTGTTCAAAATGAGATCGGACCTCGGCGGCGACCAATTTTCGTTCGCGACGGTCAGGCACCTGCCCCACCGCTCTCGCCGGCAGCGGCGTGTCAGGCCGAGACGCAGAAATAAGCCACGCCCATACGCACAACTTGGCCGCCGAGGTCCGATCTCGTTTTGAACGGAGTATATAAGAAACTATATTTTCACCATATATAAAGGAGAATTTTGTCTGTGCAATATCGTTTTTATTTTTTCAATATCAGAAGTACAAAAAAAAAAAGATTCATGTTTAAAAAATACAAAAATATTGCATTGTGAAACAATAAGAACTTTTTTTGTTTAAGTGATATCAAAAAAATAAAAACGATATTGCTCAGACAAAATTCTCCTTTTTATATGGCGAAAAGTTCGTTTCTTAGTTACAACTGTAGCTTTCTTGGTTCTTTCCTGCGCGAAACAGTTTTTGCCGTTTTTGGTATGTTACGCACTTGTAAGACGGAGACAATACATGCTGGGGTGGCGTCCTCTTAATAAATAATAATATAATAATTACAATAATTAAATATTGATAGTTATGTAATAAGTAATTAATTACATGTAGATAGGATGTTGGCTACAATAAATAAAATACCTAAATATTATTTTTGAAGTAGAATGTACAGCATTGACACTAGAAAATAATCATAATTATTGATATATTTTATAGTGATGGTAATTTTTATTTTAATTAATAGTAAATAAGATACATTATGTGAAAAATTATCAGATTCAGAAGTACAATAAATCTGTGAGCAAGACTCATTATCTGAATTATGAACGATGCTAAAAATAAAGTTTTTTTTAAAATTTTTATTAGTAATAATAAATAAAATTCAGTATTCTTACCATGACTTAATATTAGGCTTTAGTATTTTTCTAGTATTACTGAAGATATAACTGTCACTAGTAAAGTGATTTCCACAAACTTAATGCCAAAATAAATTTGTTGCATTCCTAATGCTGATGTCCATTTTTATCTCTTTTACAGATTCTTAGGAAATCCATAATTAATTGGTTTTAATAAATTAAATGTGTTAAATATGTATAGCTATTTTTTTCAGACTATTTTTGACTATTTCTTATAAGTAATTAAGATTTTAAATTTAAAGTAATATTAATCTTACCTGTGAATGGTAGATCTGTATTATGTATAGATGAAAGATTATAAATTCTGTAATTATGAACCATAGTATGTAGATTCACAATCGTGTTTTATATGGAATTAAATTAGAAGTAAACATGTGAAATAAGGAAAATAATAACAAACATAATGTTAACAGGTGCAATTATTCAAAATATTATACAATATTATAATTATATTTTTATAATTTATAATCTGCTACATGGTGGGTAATATATTATCTTCAATGATAATAATCAAGGAATATAATTTCTGATAAGACCCCTCTGCTAAAACGAGAGGCATTGATAAAATCAGACCAGCTCTCTTCTCCATTCCGGCATTCACACATCCCTTTTCATCGTTAATATAGCCATGGCCTATCCATTCTTTAATATATATGATAGAGAGAGAGAGAGAGAGAAATCATTTCTGAATTTTAATAAATGAGAGAGAGAGAGAGAGTATTTTGTGATTTAGTGGGGAAAATACTATAAAATAATTTTACTCCATGAAACATGCTATTATATTTTGACTAATATAAGTTATTAAGTTATTATTTCTATCATGGCTTAATAGCGTTAGTTATGTTGTAGCGATGTTTTCAACTTGGTTTACGCAACTAGACTACGTCACACTGTCTCCTGCTTAACATTTTTATTGTATCTACTACGATTAAAGATAGAACGGTTGTCCGACGGGCTATTTCATAAGCGATATCACATGGAAATTGAAATCACTTTTAGAATCAGCTGTTCAACTAATTTTATGCGCTCTCTATCCGTTGAAAATAATGTCATATCAAAATATGATGTGAAAATTATTTCCCGCCTAGTTTAAACTTTATAAGCATACAACCATTACCATCGATAAATATAATAATTTAACTTAAATTTTGTGAATTGTAAATTATGATTTTAAAATTTGCAATTGCTAAAGCAATATAATATTATATTATAATTGAATAGTACATAAATATTCCACTGCTGTTATCGAGTAATGCAGAATTGTTCTTATCATGCAAGTAATTGAAGACACCAATTCCATGCTCGCTGGGCAACCATTATATTCAGGGCCGGATTGGTTAGGCGAGCTACCGAGAAAATATCGGTGGGCCGCTTAGGTTAGGCGAGCTACCGAGAAAATCTCGGTGGGCCGCTTAAAGTTAAGGCCGGTAGTGTCAGAGTGTGGGTGAAAATAAATACATGTTAGGATAAGTAAATAAGTTCGTAACGATTTTAGACGTAATAAACCAATAAAAAATAATAGAAACCCAAATTTTGGGCCAGTGAATATGTAAATGGGCCGCTTAGAAATGAAAATATCGATGGGCTGATATATACCTATCCGGCCCTGATTATAGTATCTTTAATTGCGATACTTATGTATAAAATAATTATATATTATATAATAATAACAATATACTCAATAGTCAATACTACTGTTAACGTTAAGAATGAACCACTCAACTGACCATAATTCGTCTTGTTCGCGTATGCCCACTACGAAACGGGCACCACGCGCGTGCGTTATCGACCGCCACGAAACCCCACTGCGTTGAAACTGGAGCCGTCGATCCTCGACGGTCGGCGATGACTGTAACCCAATCACAGGACGCAAAGCGATCGCTTGGGTGGACAGGCAGTGATTGGTGTTTTAGCCTTCATGCGCGAAAGCAGTTCATTCTTAATGTGATCAGAGTAAAGATTATACAAGGTGTAACAGAATTACCAATTAATTAATATTAAAAAAATTGTTTTATATACAATTTATATGTTGTACTGTAAGTACAGTATATTGTATATGATCTTGTATATGATGATTTTTACTTATTAATATTGATACTAAAAAAATTTAAATTTAGTTGTATGCATTGGAAAAATAAAAAATAGCCAATTTGTAAATCTAATTTAAAAAAAAATGCTGACGGAAAAAACATTAATTTTAGATAAAGTTTTTTAACATTTTTTCTAAAATATTATTTTTTTTTAATCTATTTTGAGATTTTAATTTGAAATAACTATACAATCTTCATATTTTGAAATATAATAAGTTATATTTAATAACAAATATTCTTTTTGGGAATTTTCAGACAAGCATAAATCTTCAATTAATTATTACTCTATATACTTTTTTTTWAAAATGTTTTCACATATAGTATCAACTTTTAGTTTTTAATGTTACTGCTGTTTCTGTTACTACCTAAATATTATAATACAATTAGTTATAAAATATAATACCTTTATGTATCTGATATTACTGCAAAGGTATAAATTGAGGTTTCAAATATGTAGAAATCATTGCTAAGTTATAATATACAATTAATTTGATATAAAATTTGATATTTAAAACTATATCTGTTAAGGTATATCTTAATAAGAAATTTAAACTGATAAGTCAAAATTGTTTTCTTTCWATAGTTTTTAATCAATATAATTACTATAAATTATAAAAATATAATGTATTTATAATATAAACTATAACACATAATTCTCAACTTGTATAAAATAAATATCAAATTTTAGTATCCTTCCTTAAATGCAAATATTTAATCATTTAAAAACAATCTTTAATATTGCATTATAATATAAATTTGTCAGTATATGTAGGTAAAATTTAAATACAATGACATAGTTAAAATACTTTTTAAAAACAAAATTTATTTTAGTTGATTCATACAATTTTCTAGTTCTTTAAAAATATGAATTTTGTTCACTTTTTTTGTTTGTTACAAGTAGGGCTCGGATTTTGTAGCAAATGCTTCTTTTGGGAGTGTTATAAAAAGATAATTCTTATATATAAATACGTTTTGAGTCGTTCTAATTTTAATGAAGTAAACTTTTTTTTGCTTTTTTCCCACAAAATCTGATTTTTATTGCTTTTTGCCCTTTTCGCCCTATTTGATTATTTTTTCTTGATTTTTACATATTTTTCTTGAAAACTTAGCTTATTTCTATATATATTATACGTCTTAGACAATATTATTATTACCAGAAATTATAAAACCAGTGAAAAAACCAGTAATAAATATATGGCTGATAAAATAACTGTCGTTATTGTKCCGAAATATTTTATCTACAATTATTTATAGTTTTATTTACGACTCAATGAAAGGGAAAATTATCTGAATTATACCTACGTATTTTTGTAGCACGTTCTAATTATAAAAGTAGCGAAATTGATTTTAGAAAAGTGCAATCGTGTTTTTTCAAAGAATAATAGATGGGCAGAACTTCAAAAAGTCAATAGTATTCATAATGGCACTGCATCAAACGTAAATGTGGAACAATATGATTCAAATGTCTTTTTCTATGTATAAAAATATATTAGCACCCAATAGAATGAGTTTTAATGAATGTAACTTGACTAAATATATGGTTGTAAATTCCTTTTTTAATATTTAATTTTATGTGTAATTGAAATTTGCTTTTTTAGAATTAAATTAATAAATGCTTTTTTTGGCTACTTAAAATGCTTTTTTAAGGATTTATTTTGCTACAAAATCCGAGCCCTAGTTATAAGTAAGTATATTCACAAAATTTGAATGTAAATACAATAAATGATTTACACAAACGTTCTTTTCTATACTCGTTGTAAGTAGATTTTAATCTGTGGTTGTGATATTATAAAATCAACAAATCAATAAAACCATGGAAAATATAATTATTATTGGATTGACACATATTGTGTTGTATTTACCAAGCAATTTTTTAAAAACATTATTGCCTCAATATTTCTATTTGAATCAATCAATTCAATTGATTTGTAYAATGTGTCACATAATTATATATCAGATTTACTATTGGGTCAAAAAATAAATGATTATACCCAATGTACAGATAGTACGAATATTGATAATAGGTATTTTACCACCACAAATCTGTTTTTTTTTCATTTACTTTCTTTGTTTTCAAACAATTTTCTAATATTTTTTATTTTTTTTGTTTATTTACACAATCTTTTGAAATAACATTTTTACTACTTTTATTTTTCAGACTTGACACAACTCTTGGATACTTTTTCTACAAAAGAAAAAGTTGCCATAAATATCTTGGATAAAATGCTATCCAAGACAAAACTTCAAAACAATGTGACTCAAAATTATGAAGGTATAAGTTAGGGTTATCACCCTTGTGTCATACAACTGATATTTCATTATCAATATCTACATGATTGCTTTAGATTTCATATACTCTACAAAACATAAAAAAATTAATATACTGTATGGTATATAAAATGTATCCGTTWTCATTCCTCCAACTCAAAGTGCATCAGTCATTTTTTTTTTAAAACTAATTTTTAATTATTGTTTTTGTTTATTTGATGATTGATAGTGTTGTAGACCGAAATTGGTTATGTATTAATTGGTTATAAATAGTCAACCAATCAGAGTTCATCTTACATGATCTTATTGTTCACTTTCTTATTACATATTTTTTATTTACTTATTTAAATTTACGGCATAAAGAGCTAGCTCTTTGAAAAAAAACATATTAGATTTATTCTGATTTACAATTAAATTATAGTAAGAATTTAAAGATAACAAAAATACATATTATATATATATTATTATTTTATATTATGTATAGTTCGGTGATATAAAATTAAAAATCTAAGATTGGTATTTTTTTTTTTTTTTTATATTATAACCTCTATGTATGCAGTTCACAATACTTTTCAGAAAAATAATTTTCTTTTGTATTTTATGATTATTTGCATATTGGTTATATTATAAATAAACTAATAATTACCATTTGATTGAGTTTATACAATTTAGTTTCAATTTTAAAACTATATAATATTTTATCATATATATACCTTAGTTTACAGTTTCTATATTGTTAAATAAATATAAAAATGTGATTGTGTTTAAACTTTTAAAACATTTATTATTGTTTAGCAAATGTCAATCATAAACTTATTATCTGATAGTTGCATAAGTGAACCTAGAACATTTTATCTGATATACCGTCTAAATTATAAATATAAAAAAAATGTTGATTATAAAATTAATTTTAATTTTATTAAGTCAGTATTAGGTCAGCCATTTGCTTGAATGGTCTGAACGTAGTTTTGCCTATGGATAGTTTTTTCATAATTTGTTTTTATTTTTAAATTTCTATCAAAAAAGTGAAGCATGATAGTAACATAAAAATATCATTAATTGTCTGTTTCAGATTTTACATCCAATCATAAATCTATTTTGAATGAATGTAATCCTTTTGAAATAGCAAGTTCATCAAAAATAACAGTCATGTCTAATAATAAAAGGAAAGCAAATGACTTTGATGAAGATATTATTGATGGTAAAGTGTATTATATTAAATAAATTTATTATTGATTGATTTTAATAATATTTAATTTCTAATATTATTGTAAATGATAATAAAATAATGAAATTAATAAAAACATTTTATTATATTGTTTTTTCTAGAACATGATAACATAAAAAAAATAAAATTGCTTAAGAAAAAGTCAGGTGCAGATAGTCTTGAACAGGACATTATTGATTCTCATTTAGGTTAGTAAATGTTTATCTCTTTTCTTATTACATATTGATATTTATTATCATAAATATTATTCAAATTTCAAATTATAAGTCAAGACCGGATTTTTGTGCAGCTTACACCTAAAAAATGTGCAATATCATGCGAATACAAAATTATCATTATTGATACTTCAAATTGTATTTTCAATACTAATTTTTTTTTCATTTTATTATTTTATTAGTTTGGCATTAACTGTTATTTTAAAATTATAAAGTAAAAATAAAAAAATTATTTAATTTAAATAACATAATAATAAACTGATTCATGTATATAAGTTACTTAACAATATTTGATTAAAATTTCTGGCTGCTGCGGATAGACTAGTATTGTATGCAGTRGCGTATTTACGGGGAGGGGGGTCCCGGGTCTCGGCTCCCCCCCAGAAAAAAATTTTAAAATATTATAATTAGCTTGCTACGTAATGGTATCGAGAAAAATAATATTAATTTATATTAAGTGTTTTAATGTTTGTATTACA